AAAAAGTTATTTTATAAAAATTACCTACTGCAGCTTAAAGCTACAGAAATTCCATTCAATTCTACTTTCTTTTGTCATTTGTGTGAACTGAACCCATTAAAAATAATTTTTCTGTGAACGTATTCCATTAAAATGTAAAATAAATGTACTTTAAAAACGTTCCGAGTCACAACTTGGTCTCTGTTTCCGACTGCAGCCATCTACAGTCAGTCCTTTACCTCCACACCTTTTCATTTTGGCCAAAGACTAAGGACGGGACCTCAGTCACAACAGGTTAAAGCTTTAGGTTTTCAGTTGGCTACAATACACCAGTGGAAAGCTTAGCAAACAGAGAAGCACTTATTATCATTAAAGCATTGTTTCTCATTGGTACTAGCAGCCAGCTTCTACTTTCCTACAATTTTTTTCTTCTTTTTGTTGTAGTTCTCTTTCTTCTAGTCGTTGGCTCTTCGGGGCAGAATGTGAGTTTGGCTTCGAAAATCTCTGGAAAAACTCACATCACATGCGCAAAGACCATCACAAAGTAATCCTAACAATCATTTTCATATCATCCTTACACATGTCAAAAAAAGGAAAACATTTGAAATTATCATAATTAATGTTATGAGATCTAATAATAATAATAATAACAATAATAAACTTTCAAACAAAGTAAACATTTCTTTTGGCAACTTTTCCTGTGCACAGCAGGAAGAACGAAAGACTCAAATGAAAAGAGGCAGACAAATGAATTATTCCAAACAGAAGCAACAAACGCTTTCCATTTCAAAAACTAGTTTAACCACTACACACTTTACGCTACAAAAACACATTGACTTTTTAGGTCTTCCATATCAAATACACTTTTTGGTATCGTGTTGGTTTAACAGCTCTCAGTTGTGTAAGAAAGAAGATGAGGGGGAAAGCACTTATTTTTTATATTGCTCTGCATTGAATAAACCTTTAACACTCATAAAGGGTTATAATAAACCTTGAGGAACATTAAAGCTTGAGGCAACACACACTTTTGGTCAATAATATATGGGTTTCTTCAGTCATAAGATGCAATGACATTGTTAAAACCCTGGTTTAAAGCATTTTATCATGTTTCAGTTGGGAAAGCTTTTTTAAGTCCATCTGAAATTACAATGTCGGAGTGTTTTTTAAATAAATTGTTACTTTTTTATTACTGAAAAGTGATAAAAGAGTGGTTGGGCTGGTGTAAGTGTTTGACGGCACTCACAGACAATCTAAGATTGAGCAAACTGTAGTTTTTATTAGTTTATATAAGCCAGACAGTGTTTTGTAAGCAGTGGTGAATAACAAGGATCACATTATTTAGCATCTAAAATAACTGTTGTTGACATTTGCAAGTGAGGTTTATTTGTTTAATGCTCTATAGCTGCAACTATCTAGCCTGCAAACTAATGTTAGCAGTGCACTTTTCCTTGTTGGACGAAGCCAAGTGGCAACATAAGATTTGTGTCTTTGTTTGTAGATAAAAAGCCGACATTAGCTAATTTATTTATTATTAGTCTTGTT